ATCAAACAGAAGATAATCTTGCATAATCCTCTAATCCACACTAAGAGCATAAACTAGCTTTCATCTCGCACGTACTACGGCTTATGCTTAATGTATCATGGACGGAGACCAGTGTTCAACAGTGGGATGAAAGGTCTATATTATTTCCTCGGGTATTCTCACATTGAATTTCNTGTGTCACATATGTAGTATGAAATCTTCTGAAATCTAATCAAACAGAAGATAATCTTGCATAATCCTCTAATCCACACTAAGAGCATAAACTAGCTTTCATCTCGCACGTACTACGGCTTATGCTTAATGTATCATGGACGGAGACCAGTGTTCAACAGTGGGATGAAAGGTCTATATTATTTCCTCGGGTATTCTCACGTTGAATTTCGTAGAAATCGGTTTTGACATGAAAACAAACAGATACAGTAACTTTGGCGTATTATTAATATCCTTTGCTGTACAAAATTCCATCATCGAACAGTATATAGCCATAAATCTTTAACTGACGGCACCATTGCAACATCTCGATGGAATATATTTTTTTTAAATCTCTGTCTATCTGTAAAAAAGTATTTATGTAAAAATGGGTTCAGTAGTATGCGAAAACAAACAAAGAGACAGGCAGAAATGAACATTAAAATCGCTGGCTCATGTTTATTGCTCTCTTTAGTCACCCCCTTATATTTTTCTTCAATGTACAGACACATCGGATTACAGTACAGTTTCAGTGTATATAATGAAGAAGGTATTTTTGTTGATGTGAATGTTTGTACGTTGGTATGTTTGTTGGTATAATTGAATTACTTTCGCAGAAATATACAAACAAACTTATATTTGTAAATGTTATATTAATTTTTTTATTACACTTGATGCAAATTAATGAGCATTGGTGGACTTCACGCCTAAAGCATTCTCTACCAAGGGTACGAGCAGGGAAATAGTATAGCAGTTATGTGTATTATGTAAAAAGATCGTATCTATAACACGTATAAACAGATCTACACATTGTTGGGTAGTTTATAGATTATAGCACCTTTTTTACGCCGTGAAAACGCATTCCATCCATTCTGAATTACAGATATATGACAGTTGAAACCGCGGCGAACTGCTAGTGCAAAACAAAACAATGAAACATCGTTAAACAAACAAATTCATCAGTTCGCAGCACGCGATAAAAATGCAAATAAACCAATGTAAGGTACAAACATATTGTTTCTGTTTACATTCCGTGACTTTAACTGTTAGTACTGATAAATTATGACGACAATCGCATTGTTACCTTTTGATATCATAAAATATGAATAAGATATACATATATGTAGAATAAGGATCGCAGAAGCATTTTCAATCCGGAAATTTTGATGTCCAAAATGCATGTCGCTCTGGTCGCCCTATTACGGATAAAATGGATGCCATTTTTGAAAAAGTGGAGTAAGATCGGCATATCAGTAGTTACGACGTAGCTGAAGAACTAGGAATTGACAACAAAACAGTTTAGGCGCATTTGAAAAAAACAGGATACACAAAAAAGCTTGGTATTTGGGTACCTCACGAGCTCACTGAAAGAAACCTAATGAACCGTGTACTCATTTGCGATTCCTTATTACGACGTGATGAAACCGAACCATTTTTGAAGAAGCTGATGAAAAGTGGATCACGTACGACAAGAACGTGTGAAAACGGTCGTGGTCAAAGGCCGGTCAGCCTTCACAGACTGTGGCGAAACCCGGATTAACTCGCAACAAGATGATGCTGTGTGTGTGGTGGGATTGGAAGGGCATTATTCATTATGAGCTGTTACCACCAGGCAGGACCATCCATTCTGAAATCTACTGCGAATAACTGATGATATTAAAGCAAGAAGTTGAGAGAAAGTGGCCGGAATGAATCAAAATAAGGGGTGTGGTTTTTCATCATGATAACGCTAGACCTCACACATCTTTAGTCACTAAGCAAAAATTAATAGAGCTTGGCTGAGAGGTGTTAATGCATCCGCCGTATAGTCCTGACCTTGCACCTTCAGATTTCCACCTGTTTTGGTCTCCTCAGAATTCTTTAGGCAGTGTCAGGTTAACATCACGAGAGGACTGCCAAAACCAATTGTCGTGGTATTTTGATCAGAAGCCCCAAAATTTCTATAGCAATGGGCTCATGTCCCTACCTACAAGATGGCAAAAAGTTATCGAACAAAATGGTACCAACATACTTTAGTTAAATGTGAATAAACTATATTAAAAAATGAATTTTCTTAAAAAATGCGAAGAAACTTTTTCCCCAATCTATTATATTATGTACTTAAGTGAACTGTATTTAAAACGTTTTTGTTGTTAGTTATTAATTATACTTAGATGGCAATTGTCATTAGAAGTGGTGGTAAATGAAAAACTAACTTTGTGGTCTGGTACAAGAACTAACCACCGTCAATCTATGTTTTTGTTTTTTTCGTCTAAATTGTGGTAGAATTGTTATCTCGACAGCAGCCCAAAAAAGTTGATTTCTATTTATTCGATAAAACTATATGGTTAAAGTTGATAGCCCATATTTGAAGGTCCCGATTCAAAAATTTGGCCTGCGTTGTGAGTTCCGAATACATGCTTCCGTAACATAGTAGTAAATTATACTTTGATCACGAACATTTCCGACAGAGTCTATAACTATTACGCTATTATCGAATGTTGTTTTTAGATAAGCTGTGGTTAAATTGTTAGTAGACAAATTTTGAACCGAACGAATAATGAGAAAATGTTTTACGAATCAATAAGAATGTGGTCTATTTACTAATGTGGATAACCACTTGACACTTAACGCTCGTGAGCTCGACTATCCGTATATGGCAATAAACTAATCCGTATATGGAGACGAATGGGCTTAAATTGCTTGCTAATATGAACTGTATATATAAAAGTCCATGTGTATATGTATACGAAAGGATCGTTGCTTCCACGTCATTTGTTAACGGGGAACTTCGCCATCCACCGCAGCATACAACTTTCAGGTATTTCGTAACTAGAATCTCAAAATAATTGGAACCAAATTATATCTTACAACTAAAGTTTGTTTGTCAAACTTAAAGCCAGGATGTTTTGGTCGGTACATCCCTATTTATTTGTTATATCTATATATTTTATAAGTCGATTATGTGTACCCGATTGACTCTGAAACTATGACTAATTCAGATTAAATTGTCAGATAATCTTCCGATGTGTCTAGTGGGTGATTCTGTGAAGTTTGATAGAGAGAGAGATAGAATTAAAGTCAAATCAAAGATGGGCCAGATTCGACTTATGCACGCATATTCGTAAGTGTTTCAAAGTAAGCCTTTTACACATTTAACAGATTTGGATGATACTTCGTCCTTTTTACCGCGAACATTGAAACCGGATGAATGATCCGTCATGTTTCCGACAGTATGCGGGTTCTAGTGAAAGATATAGAATACCTTGACCTTTGAAGAGCGTGTCAGAAACCTGACTGACCGGCAAGGAAGTACAACTTGCGCCTTTGTAAAATTTTCATTGATGATAATAGCTCATGAGCTAACGAATGTATTTAATTTGAATTATCTTACAGAAACTATATTATCGCTGTCCATTAACATAACAAGACCTAGTTGATTAGAGATAAAGAATTCTTAGAATGATTATTCTAAACACTTTCAAGTACTAGATAACCGATATCCAATAGGCCGTAATGTTTGATTATTGATTTCAACAAATACAATTTTATCGATTTATCGTAATTTTACGATATACAACAATGTTACTTTTTATTCTTATTGATCATATTATTATGCACGTATTTAGCTTTTGGTTCCTTCTAAATTTATTCACACAAATCAAGGATTGTTTGGTTTAAAATTAATAATAGTCCGGACTACCCCAGATGGGGCAACACTAACGTCTTACCTACTTTGACATGAAGCAGTAATCCCGTCAGTTTTGGGCACAGCCATTATGCAATAAAATTGAGACATTGGTCCTCATTTCTCAAGGTAACAAATAACTACCGTCGCCCTAGACTTCCTTGCGGATCCTCCCGATCCCCTCTCTATGCTTATAGGCATTCCAAGCATCGATCACCATTCTCATCGAAGATTTCAACTTGCAACTTAATCCACAGACTCAACCCATTGAGGTTCTGGCCGATTATTTTTAATGGGTCGCAATTCCGATTCTTTGGTAGATTCAGCGAAGTCCTGCTCTTGCTAGGGCAGAGGTGAGCGAAATTATTTCAGGCTCGCGAGCTTACCCATCGTTCACTATTAGGCCAAAATATTTGGGCCGAGCCTATTAGGTAGGTAGGTAACTAGGTAGGCAAAAAAGCTTCAGGGTGGGGAGTTCACGGGGTGCATCAATTAACGCCAGGACTCTAGTAGCTAATTGACACCAGGGCCAGTGAGTCCATTGAGCAATCTAGACCAATATTTTTTATCTCATAATAATGCCTTCAATTCAAATAAATAGAAATTAGTAATTGAAGACGAAACGAATTTAGACTACAGGTATGTAAAAATGTGTAGTCTTATTTAAATTCAATCAGTTTGAACACTAGTTGTTGATAAAACTAAATTTTCTTATCAACATTAAATTTTTAACGGCTTTCGTTACAGAATATATTCGAATTGAATGTCGAAACATAAAATACGTACGTAAATATTAGGAGCTGACCTTTTTGTAAACTCGAGGAAAACTAAATGCTACGACGCTGATGTCATTCTTAAGAAATTCGTATTAAGCCTTGTCTGGTGTAAGTCTTATCACTTGATAATATAATGAAGTGTGGTTACCCAAGATTTAATAAGTACCACGTTGCGTCCAAGCGAACTCAGTATTTTTCTTGAATTCTTTAAACTAAGTCGAATACGAATATTTAAAGTCGAATGCCAAATGCGGTTTGTTACGAAATTGTTTTGTTACAGTTGTTTGTTCGAAAACATTACTTACAGCAGCGATATTTGTGGACGTAGGTACAAAAATAAAGTTTTTTTATTTCAAATTGATCCTTACCTCCCTTTCAAATAGTCCGATATTTGACTGACCTTCCAGAATATCTGGAAAAGTAACATGAGAACTGTATGGTTGACCCATGTGTACAGTTTATGGCAGGTCTCCATCGCGCCCCCCTCACTAACTTTTTTCCACTCACTTTTCGTAAATTCACTCATCAGCCCGGACCGTATCCCGATACCAGTAGCGCGGTCCACCAATTTAAATAAGACCGTCCAAAATCGTGCTCCGGCTAGTAAACGAAAGGGTAGTTTGACTTATCAATAGAACGGCTCGAACGAAAATAGCGATAAAATTCTCTGACGAGTAACACGATAAATGTGACCGTTCTCGGGCGCCGGTGCACGCGAACTAGTGGTGGCCCTGAGAATTCCACTACAGCACGGAACGGCACGTCGAATGACGAAAGATGACTCAGTTCGGAGATTAATAAGTGTATTTGTTTTTTTGTTTTTTTTTTTCTTAGTAATGGAATTTTAAACAACCATTTACTAATGAGTTCGGAGATATCAGACCTCTTTCGGTACAGGATCGTTGGTTCGTGTCTTAACGACTCTTTCATCGGGTGTTGATATTTTTGAACATTCAGCTGCAAGTACTGGTTAACATATTGCAGCGTGCACGGAATGGGATGTTATATCGATTATCTGTTTGGTTCAATGTACACAGCTATTTTTAGAATTCTGTTTAATGTGTTATCCAAGTCACTACTCCACAGTACACATTAATACTGATTACAGTAAAATTTTTCGGAGTCTATGATTTTCCCTCTATTATTTGTTCTTTTGATTATAAATAGAACCTAATTAATGTTCTATAAATGATAAATCCGAAAAAATAAATCAACTCTGGACGAAATGTGCTATCTGATTTCCTCAAGGGCTTATTAATGATAAAGTTACGTAAGCTTACAAACTTTAAAACAAAGAAAAATGAAACGTTTCCATAACGAACTTGGGGTGCTAAATTTTCTTTTTGTGTTGTATTTTTATTGCTAAGATAGGTGAACGAACACCATCACCACCACCTGGTGTCGCCGCCCATCTTGCCATATGAGTTCTAGTCCCCGTTTTTACAGTTGAACTACCCTACTCTTCAATCAGAAATGCATTATTGCATCCCAGCAGAAGTAGGTCGGGTAGTGGTACCTACCTACCGGTGCGAGCTCAAATTAAGACCCGCGAAATATTTCTTCTAAAGTTCAAATTTTTTATTCCTTCAATTTTAGGCTAGCGTGTCGCAGTACCTATTGCTTTATCAATGTTGTATGACGTAACATAGAAAAAGATGGTAAATTATTTCTGTTTAAATTTATGCTCCAATATAAGTATTATAAATACTCGTATGCAGTTGAAGCCTTCAACTTCAGGAAACAATACTGCATCCTACACTTCTCAATATTAACTTGTTAAATTTGCCTCCAATTATCATTTCCTTTATGATATGACTACAAATTTCCCCTTGTTTTTCGGAATGTCATTAATTATTGAGCTTTCTTTCTTTCTTACTAATCAATTGATTGAAAATAGTTTTAATGTTCATTTCAAATGTATGGCCTATATATTTATTCTATTGTTATTCTGTGTCAAGTGTCAGAGACTAGGCGCAAGGTACCCATTTGTGTGTCCACGGCATTTTTATAAAGCTTTCTATAAGGTTATTGACTGTTTTACTTCATTTACACCAGTTTAGATACATTTATAATTTATATTGTTAAACTACATATTTGTTAATATAAACTATTCAACCACGGACTGTTTGCAGCGGGGTCGTTTGCAAGTACATACATACCTAAATGACTTTTGTCTATTTTCTTTTGTTAATCTGTTCATTGTATCGCCGCAGTCTGTAGTGTTCTCTTTAAAAAATCTCTTTGATGTAATTTTCTATTCCTATCAAAAAAGTCATTGCAGTGGATTGTAGGATTTGTTTGTATGATTTTTTCCAAGATAATCGCTGGTAGCCTTATGGGGCTATTGTAGCTCCGCCGGTTTAGTAGGCGAAATGACGAGGCTCAGCTTTCTTGGCAGATAAATTGTTAAAGCTCTTGGTTTTTTTTTAATTACCGTTACTATTTCATGTTGTTTAGTGAATCAATTTCAACTCTATAAAGTTTGGTATTGAATATAATATCATAATAATTTAAGAATGTTACAAAATAAGAGTAATTTAAAATTACGTTAGAGCCGAGGTAGCGTTTTTGATTATATATTTTTAACTCTTTCTTAACAAGGCGTCTTAAAAGAAGAAAAAATATAAATTTCCAGAATGATAAAAACACATTTTTGTTGCGACACACCTGTAATAACGATTCATTATATAACAATGAATGTATATACAAAACTACAAATAAATCAGTATATCTTTATTGCTTTTTTTTATTGCTTAGATGGGTCGACGAGCTCACAGCCCACCTGGTGCTAAGTGGTTACTGGAGCCCATAGACATCTATGACGTAAATGCGCCACCCACATTGAGATAAGTTCTAAGGTCTCAAGTGTAGTTACAACGGCTACCCCACCCTTCAAGCCGAAACGCATTACTACTTCACTTAAGAATTCTGTGCCTTCACGGCAGAAATAGGCGAGGTGGTGGTATCTACCTGTGCGGACTCACGAGAGGTCCTACCACCAATAACGAATAAAAATGTATAAATAAAACATTTTAAAATGAATTAGTATATCTGTAATACTTTAATTAAAACACTTTATATCTATGTATTTGGAGTGTTATTCCAACGAGAATAGGAGAATAGGGAGACCTAATATAAAACCGTATCCCCGAAATATTTTAACATAAATATAAATTACATACTTTATTTACTTTGTTTTTCTTCTGACTTTCGTCGTTCGTGTTTGAAGGTTAAATCTCTGAATTTCAATGTATTCTTCCAAAAGTGTTCTTTATTTGTAAGGTATACAAAACATTTGTTGGAATAATGGTGTTTTTCCGTCATGACCTACATATGTATGCAAGTGTAGTGTTCGCCCACGCGGCCCGCATGCACGTAAACTCTCTCTAAGTCATTCAGTGCCGATTCTGCGGGATAATGATCGGATCACTGTGATATATGAGGTATTGTTGTATATCGTCACGGAATCTAAATTAGAACCAATACGCTAGCATCTTAAGGTAGCATCAAAACGCTACTTCTACAGAGCGGCGCGACACGATAACCCTCTTATCATGACCGCCGCTATTTACATATCCGATCAAGGCGACGGGGTAACGCAAAGATGCCGTCGACGGAAATAATTCTTGTCAGAGCCCCTGGATCTTCAATTGCGACGAGCGGACTAACCCACTAAGTTTCTCGCCGGATTTTCTCAGTGAGTAGTGAATCCGATCCGGTGGTAGATTCTGCGAAGCACTACTGTTGGTAGGGCTAGTGTTAGCGAATTCTCTCAGATTGAGCCCGTGAGCTCACCTACCCGTCCGCGCGCATCATGAATATCCCCCTTAGGCCGCTTTTTGTTGTTATTTTTTTGCTTAGATCGGTAAACGAGCTCACGGCTAAGTGGTTACCGGAGTATATGGACATCAACAATGCAAATGCGTCAAATGCCGGCACTAACATTGAGACTTGTATTATAAATCTCAGATTTTAAGATTAAGTCTCAGTAAGAAACGCATTACTGCTTCACAGCAGAAATAAGCGGGGTGGCAAAACCTGCCCGTGTGCCCGGCTCACAAGACGCCGCGCCCCACCAGTAAATCATGAATATTCATTTTCAAAATATTTTTGTCTATGACTTAAAAATAATATGTAGTTTTTGTTTTTGTTTTCTAAAAAAAAAGCTCTCGCACACGTTGCCCATAAAAACTGAGCCGTTCAATTTTATTAGTCAATCGTAGATTTTTTTAGAGAGATCAATAGTTTACTACTAGTCGAAAATGAGTTCTAAATATAATTTTAAGGCACCCACCCACATTGGTTTTTATTTATAGTCTGCACGAATCGCACGGGCTTTATTGTAACGAAACGATAATTTGCGCCACATGGCACGCATTATATTTGTTGGAGAGATGTAAAATTTATAGCATCATAAATATATTGAACTTGTCATATTTTATAACGACGTACATATTTATATAATAATTTAAATTTTAGTGGAATTTGAAATGTATTTTTAGCGAAAAAAGACTCTTCAACATTCATCGTCATTTCATTAACAAATAATCTTTACAGTACTATCAAGATTAATCTTACTTTTACATTCTGAAGTTAGCTTTTGTTCTATTTTTGTATGATAATTGATATGTACCTAACTCAAATATTTTTTCATGTTTTTCTTGTTATCATTATATCTTTTCATGAAATTTCTTAAAACCTTCTTTCCTTATTATTCATCTCGAACAGTTAATTTAAAGGCCCTGCAGCCTTGCGGTCTGATATAATTATGTTGTCAATCCATGCCGAGCATGTCAATTTATGTCTATGAACTCCGGCGTTCATCTAGTACTATCTGAGCCGCTACTAATAAAATAAAAAGGCCCATGTTTCCAGCATATACATTCAAATGAGAATAAATCGTTTAAAATCTATTTAATATTAAGTGAAGCAAAAACTTGTACCCCTTTTAACGAAAATTGCGCGGACGAAGGAGTACGAAATATCCCATACTTATAGATAATTTTTATTCTAGATTCATCGAATTAGAAGGTGCATACTAGCAGTGCTTCGCAGGATCTACCACAGGATCGGAGAAACTCAGTGGGCTGTGTCTATGGGTTAATTCGTTCGACGAGCCCTTCGTCGCAAGCGACGGGTTCGGTGAGGACGGTGACCGGTGCTTGAGGTACCTAAAAGCACCGTTAATGGATCGGGAGGATCCGTAACGACGTGCTTTGGGCGACGTCGACGGTTTACCATTCGGTCTACAGGATCGGGTATGTAGTTTCCAGCGGCCCCGACCAGAAGGTTCTCATGTCGGCGTACGCAAACGATCCCATTCCATACAAATATGAGCTAACTTTTACGCTATCGAGAATGTCAAAAAACTCGTATTAACCACACCGAATGTAGAAAAAAAACTACCTGAGGGTATGCGTAGGGGATAGAGTTCGTTGACATTTAACAATCCAGCGCCTTTGGTAGGTGATCGGGTAAGACCGTTTTTTATAAACATTGTCCTATTGTTAAATTCTATTCAGTATTCAGGTCTCCGAATCGTTAATGAATATTCGTAGCATTAAATATATTCAAACGGCACGAGAGACTCGTTAACATTGTAGGTAGTAAGGTAGTAAGGTAAGTAAGTAGGAAGATCTTCCACCGAGCGGGTGATATTGCTCGATAGACCGACGGTCCGAATATTTTTGTTCGGAGTTTGTATATATGCAAGCTTATCTTGAAAATATTGTAAGCGATATTC